ATGGAGGTTACATGCACACACAGGTACAAGGAGACAAGCTGACAGCCACCAAGAAAGGCATGTGGCTGCCTTCTAGACTCAGTGCATAGTAACTTGACTTTCTTAGCACCTGAAGTCAGGTAACTAAGTTCTTCCTCTTAGCACATTTTCATCTTACCTGTTTGTGCATATTAAATGGATCCCAAGCATTAATTTGCTAGAAGCCTGTGTCTGACACCAGTACCCTTTCCTGAGAACATGTATTACAGGCCTCCAAAGAGTCTGAGTAAATGTAAGCAGTACCAGTAGAGGTCCTTGATTTGAGCAATTTTAACTCTCTGTTCTCAATAATTTTAAACTCCTGCTGCTACATTACACCTAAAGCAAAAAAGAGAAAACAATGGAGAGCTTATTACCTTCTCTGACATAAAAAATTTCGAACAGATTAGTACCATTATTATAACTAAACACACAAGGTAATTTTTATACAAGTCCTTTGCTAAAGGATATATCTCTGACTGAACAGGTAAATTTTATTTAGATCTAAATTATATTCAAAACAAAATGGAAAACAATTTGTGCTTTCACAGAAGCAAAGCCAAAATGCAAAAGAAGCTTCTTCCTTGATTTAGCTTTTTGAATTTCTAGAGACAGAGGGAAAGGAAAGATATATTAAAAACCTATTTGAAATATTCCTTCCACAGAAACAAAGACTAAATTTTCCTTTCCTGAGGATTAATTTCCCTCTCTGAAGTGCAACTGCATTTAAACTTTATTTTTCTTTCTTGACCCAAGGTCTAATTCCAAACATGTCTATTTAAATAAGAAAGAAGGGTTTCCATAACAGCCTAAGCCAGCTAGCAGGATTGAATACAAATCCAGGAAATATACCAAACTGAAAAAATTACACATGTGAAATAAGATTATTTCTTTGAAACAACTAGGGGTTTGATATTGAATAGGAATGGCTGCTGTTAATCACTAGCCACACAGCCAAGCTATTTGATTTATCACAAAATTATTAAAAACTGCATATCCTTCCAAAAAGAAGTTGTCACTTTGATAATAAATGCTATTTGAATACCTGAGAAACAACATATTTGTATCATAGGGAAATACAAGAAAATGAAAAAAAAAGAGGAATTATCCTGCACAACTGTGAAGCTTTCCTGATGATTAAATATTCCTTAAACTATCTTGTGTTCATAAAAGATACCAGATACTTCTGGGGAACTTAAGCAGTGAAACAACACACACCAAATGCTTTCAGTTCCACTGCAGCAGGCCTGTGGGCAGGCTGCATTTGCAGGCTGGGCACATACTCATTGGGATGATATTCCACAGTCAGTGCTGCTTTTGGGCTTAAGTCAATGAGACCAGGTAGATGGGCACAGTTCCAAAAGAGTGACCCAAGCCTTATTAAAGATTGGTCCACACTTCAGAAAGCAGGGAACTGAACAATAGGTTTGCTACCTACAGTGCAATTTATCTTACCAAAACCCATTAACTAATGGATTGAAAACTGGCACATACTATCTATGTGTCAGCAAGTGATCAAAACTGGTTGTGAGGCAGGCCTTATTAATTTTTTAAAACATGACAAAACGTATTTCAAATCTTATTATGAGCAACAGACAGAAGAGGGTAGTAGCTGCAAGCTAGCAACAGGGAGGCTACAGTATAGTTTTAAATGGAGATAACCCACTAGCCTGCAACAAGCTGTGCAGCTGAAGATCAATTCTGGAACATCTCATGTACATACAAGTCAGAGTTCCCTTCAACATAAAGAAATCTTAATTAGAAAGCAGAGTAGGTGCCAAACAGGTGCTAAACATGTTAACCAGCAGACACACATAGGGTTCTGCAGATCTCACAGCCAAGGACCAACAGCAATCATTGAGTGGGGCAATGCTGACACTGTGGTCAGACTGAAGGGTCTATTCCATCTTCTTCTGCTTAGTGCCTAGGGGACAGTGTGCTCTCCCCTCCCACTTCTGCTCAAGCAATAGCCAGCCACCAGTGGTGGTCAGGAGGACTGACTCTGAGAAGACAGATAAGATCACAATAGTTAAGGGCCGTAAGTCTTGCTCAAAAGCTTAGGACCAGTTCCACACAAGAAAACCCAAAATACTGCCTGTGTGCAAATATGACTGTAAGTCAATCATCTTACTCTAAACAGTGGACAGCCCAGGGCCTGTTACTGTATCTTTCATGGCAGTAGGCTGTACCCCAGGATCCCCACTTGACTAGTGATGCCTCTTAGGGTTAACTTCTTGAGGCTGAGAGATTCCTTGCTAGTGAATTCTCACTAAATGCTAAATAGCACACAAAACCTTGAAATCTTAGCTAAGTGAGATACAGGATTGACTGTGCACATAATCCTTTAGATGTAAACTGCTAGCCAAGTCTGGGACTAAGTCTGGATCCAGACACACCTAAATTCCTCTCAAGGAGTTTAAGAAATAAGGAGGTCCTTTCTGAGCCTCCTGACTCAGCACAGGGTCTCCCTGACAGTTTTGTCTGACCCTGCCCTCTATGCAGTAAACAATTATGTATACCTTGCCATCATATCTTGTTAAATTATTGTCACATTTACTCATAAAATCATAGAATGTTTTGGATTGGAAAAGGACCTTGAATATAATCTAGTTGCAACTGCTTTCCCATAGGCAGGCACACCTTCAACTAGACCAGGCTGCTGTACCTGCAGAGCTGTGTGGGAGACAGGTTACACGTGCTGGGGTGCTGTGCCTGTGGGGCTGTGTGTGCTGGAGATGGGTTACACCTGGTTCACAGCACTGACCTGGAGTGCAGGATAGCTGGTGAGGAGGGAGAGGGGATGGGTTTGGAAGCCATGAGAACAGCCTTTAGAGCATATGAGGAGAACTAGGCATCCTACAGTTACTGCTGCATGTAGTGCTTCATGAGGCACAGGGGTACTGTAATCCATAAGTACTGGAGGAGTCAAACATTGTAGCCACATCATGATCATTTCTGATGTTCCTGGCACAGCCCTGCCTTCCAGTCCTTGTCTGTCCAAGTATTTTGTACTGTATCTGTGTGAGCTGACTGACATGACTGATCCTGATATCTGAATGATGCTTCATTAATCTCTTTGTCACATTTTTAATCAGTAATTTTCATTATTCGCAAACTAACACTTTAAAAAGGGTAGGGGAGTAAAATCCCCAAACATATATTTCCTTGTGATTTGCTTTTCTAACTCAACTCTCCTTTAAACCAAAAGCTGTTATGAAAGGATACTGTCAATTGCAGAATGTGATGAGTAACTCAGGTGGCCTGAGCTGCAGAAGTGTCTTCATAATACTCAACTGCTACTGCTGGATTTTGTTGTCAGCTTTTTAAGGACTTGTTTTACTATAGGGGTATGAATAAATGTGCAAAATACAATTAAACTGTTAACTGCGTTTAGAGTGTTTCTAGAGGTTTCAATAATTCCAATTTTATTAGCAATGACAATTTCAATAAACTTTTAATGAAATGTTTATTTATTTTATAAAACAGCACATGAAAAAAATCTCATTTCTAAGAAAAAATTATTTAAACACTTTTCTGAGTCTAAAGGCCTGAAGAGCCAAGAGATTTTTGAGAATTTCTGAATTTCTGTCTGAATTTAAATTATTGAACTTCCTCAAATTTTCCTGCTTTCACATCAGCTGTTACAGTCTGTATCAGACGGATAGAGACCATAATTTGTAAGGATACAGACCTTCTTCCTTCTTTCTCATAAGACCCACTGAAGCTGGAAAAGAAGTATAGTCCCATCTCCTGACAATCTGCGACAGTTAATTCTAGCATTGACCTTATTTTCTCTTATTTTCAGAGACTGCCTTGTGCTGTTAAAGCATTTACTAAATAAACCTGCCATTTCCATGTCGTTGGTATCTTTTACTTCCTACATCATCTGTGGGAAGAAAATTATTAGTCTAATCCTCTACTGTAAGATTTTACCTGATACAGTCTTTTAGGTAATGGAACTAGGTGAAATTCCATAAATTTGTGACAATTTGGAGTTCACAGATTGACTTAAGCTTGTACCCACTTTTACAAAAACACTTCCTTGACAAGCATTGAGTGATGAACCAAAGTATTTTTTCCTAATTAACAACATAAAATATAAGGTAAGAAACAACCTAGTGAAACCTCTAGGAAAAATGTAATTCCTATTTTATTTCCTTCAACAGTCCTACAAAATTTCACCATGGAGTTTCAACACCACCAAGTTTTCCCAGAGGCTGAAGAACAGCCTGAAGAGCCCTGGCATTGACCATACATGTATGTGGCTGATCTTACTGCTCTGGGACATGACCAACTTCCGTATTTTATGTGCAACTTTTCTTCTGGCATTGGCCCAGTGTTTTCTGTGTGATCATAAATAGTTTTAGGGTTTTTCTCCAGTGACTTGGTACAAAACGTTCATAGAATCAGAGTACCTTGAGTTAGAAGAGACTCATCATGATCATTGAGTCCAGCTCCTGTCTCAGGACACCCCAACAATCAGAACATGCACCTGAGAGTGTTGTCCAAACACTCCTTGAACTCTGTCAGTCTTGGCGCTGTGACCACTTCCCTGGGGAGCCTGTCCCAGTGCTCAGCCACCATCTGAATGAAAAACTTTTTCCTTATACCCAACCTAAACCTCCTCTGACTCAGCTTCAGGCCATTTCCTTGAGTCCTGTTACTGGTCTCAAGATTGAAGAGATCAGTGCCCGCCCCTCACGAGGAAGCTGTAACTGCAATGAGGTTTCCCCTCAGTCTCCTCTCCTCCAGCCTGAACAGACCAAGTGACCTCAGCCACTTCTCACATGGCTTCCCCTCCACACCCTTCACCACCCTTGTGGCTCTCCTTTGGATGGTCTTTAATGGCTTAATGTCTTTTTTATATTGTGGCTATGAAAACTGCCCCCAGCACTTGAGGTGAGGCTGCCCCAGTGCAGAGCAGCAGAGGACAATCCCTCCCTTCCCCAGCTGGCCATGCTGTGCCTGATACATCCCAGGACAGCGCTGGCCCTCCTGGCTGCCAGGGCGCTGCTGGCTCATGTTCAACTTGTCATCAACCAGGACCCCCAGATCCCTGTCTGCAGTGCTGTTCCTCCAGCCTCTTATTTCCTAGGCTATACACAACACACCAACTATGAAATGTTGTGAAAACTGATGTTTTTTTTATCAGCAAACAAACCACTACTACTTCTCTGTTAGAAGTGAAGTGTGTCACTCCATCAGCAGTATCTAGGAACTTGATAGACAAAGGATGAAAAAAAAAAACCACCTTACCTAAATTGTTCAGGCCTGATTCAGGTGCTGTATAAAGGCCACAGGATGTTTCTTCATTTCATCCATGAGAGGTCAAAGGAAGGAATAGCCCTCTCCAAGCTGCTAACTGAAAGAGCATCTTGCTCTGACAGATACCAAGCCCTACTGTTTTGTCTCCCTGTGCTTGACCTGCTTGAATAAGGTAGCTTTGCAGTTCCCCCCCATCCTGGTGAACACACTCTCTCTTTTGAGGAAGGTGGCTGTTTTCTCCCCATCTCAGGGCCCAAAGCAGCAGCAACTCTGCTCCTTGCCCACTCGCCCAGTAAACCACTGTACTCCAAGCAATGCTCTTCCAATTTCCACTCCTCCTGCTCACAGCTTGGGCTGCTCAACTGCTTTCTCTCTTACCATTTTGACCTACTAAGTGCTCTGGAGCAGTGAATCAGTAAGCAGAGATAGTTAAAAGTAAGTTTGAATATAGAGCGAATTGTACAGCATTACAATATACCCTTTATAGGAAATATGCAGCCCTCCTATGAGAGCAAAATCTTTGGCTTTAACTACCCCAAGTAATTCTGTCCATCATTTCCTCTCAATAGAAGGAATGGACCAAGTAGAGGTGCTTTACCTGCACGATTTAAAAATAAAACTCAGAACTTTTCTAGTATCACCATGGAAAGTAATTTTTTGTCTCTGCAAAGAGGTATCAAAATGTAAATACAGCAGTATTCTTAGAAAAGAGAACTATTTCAAGTTAAAAGTATTAAAATAAACAACAATTAACATGTTTTAAAATTCATCTCTGATGGATTAACTTTTCCTTGCTCAACTCAGCCACTACTTAAGCAGAAGCTGATAACTGATATCATCACTAGTCACAAAAACATGCCAAGAAACTTCCTAACAATACCTTTGCAACAGCAATAGCAGCTGACAAACTGCATTTCTCTGGGAGCCTTTTCCTTGCTACATATGGGTGCAATACCAGTGAACCAACATCCTGCTACTAAGAAACATTTCCTGTGTATTTATTAGTTGTATTCCAACCATTTTGTATTCATTCAGCATGGTGCTAAGTAATGTCTTCTGCTTCACATCTGGATTACAGAAAAAACTTCTGGTAATCGCTGAGGTTTTAATTATCTACATATGCCTATAATCAACAGATACAACATCCAATTCTTAATCTGTGGAAAAGTCTTCCTATGGACTATGAGGTGTGCACCCTGCTCCCACCCCCTGTTCAAGCATGAGCTGTGACTGCTATTTGGGGCCCACCTGTTGTAGCACTGCCAAGTCACTGCAGCACAGGGTGCTGCTGGCCAGCTGCACTCCCACCCACTCATGTGAGTGAAGGAAGCACTGACTGCTGGTGGCTGTAGCGATGGTAGGTGATGGGGTTACCCTGGCTAACTGACAAGCCAGCTGTGCTTCTGGCTCACTGAAGCTAACAGCTGACCTCTAGTGATGCAGATGCAGCAGGAGAGTTGGAAAAGTTATTCACAAAATAGTAACAGATTATTTTCACTTCATTTTGTAACAGCACAACAGATCAGAACCACAACCACCTGAATGTGGCTTCTGGGCAATTGCCAGCTGTGACGTGAAGGCCCAGCCCAATGCCTGCATGGAGCAGACCTCCTGAAGTTTTGGAGAAAGAGCAGCTGCCTAGGAACAACCAGGCAGTCACAATTACCTTTCTCCCCGGGGACGGTGGGGAAGAAGGAAGAAGGGTGTGGGGAGAACCAGTTCAAGTCTGAAGAAGAGCTGGCAGAATTGCGCCATGGTTCTGTCACACAGCAGTGTGTCAGGCAGTACCAGGGCTGGGTGGCAGCCTGCTACACTCACCATCACCTGCCTGCCATCCTTGCCCCTTCCCTCCTCTTCAGCCAGTGTAGTAGACGTGAAAGAACAGAGTCTTATTGCGGAGCAGAGAGTACGAGTTATCAAATTTCAGCAGGTAGATGCCCTCGCCCGGGTACTCATGGCTGCCTGCCTGTACCTCCCGGTGGCTGTTCCTCCGGTACACAGGCATGATCTCTCCATAGCGGTTCCGCAGATAGCTTTTGGAACCCCGTTCCACATCACCTGCAGGGGACAGTCCTGAATGGGAGAGAGGAGACAAGTAAGTAGGCCAGAACCACTACATAACCCAGAACAAGACTAACGGGACCAGAATGTAACACAGACTTGCAGCTACATGGAAAGCTAACTGTGATAGCATTATCCAAAGCATCCCCTCCAACCTTTCTGCAAATAATTCCCACAAAGTCCAGTTTCCCTTATCATAACAAAGGTCATAACAAGAACCAGTTCTCTTGGGAATACTGATGGGATAGCCCTCCAGCCCAGTCTCCTCTCTTTTTTAGCTTACCTTTTAGACACCTCGCTGCTTTTATACATGCAAGAGCAGTCCTACCATACAGACTTGAAGCAAAGAGAGGCAGGAAAGATCTTTGCTGTTACCTCATAGTGTTTATGTCCTTAATTCACTTCTCCAAGAGAATTCCTCATAAAGGAACCTACCCCTATTTACAGGGCCTGCAAAATTCAGACACAAACCCCCCAGCTACACTGGTCACACATACTCTGAAGCCACAAAACAGGCAACATTACTGTGTGTTTCCCAATTAGAGTGACACAGGTAGCAAACATTTCAAATACAGTCAGAAGGAGCTACTGATGTACAGGGGAAAAAAAGAAAAAAACAAAAAACAAGCAAACTTCCCCACCCCCCCAACAAACAACAACAAACAACACCATCACCCCCAAAAAATAACCAAAACAAAGAAAAAACCAAACAAACAAAAAACAAAACAACAAATAAACAAATCCCCCCAAAATACAACACCCCAAAACAAAATCTTCTTGCCTCCACTCACCACCAGACATTTCTCAGTCTGAGAGTCTAACAAAAAGAATCGGGTTAAAATTTCAGTCTTTCATCTTTTTATCAGCTAGAAGTTGACTGAGTGAATTCTGATCTTATTTTTCCATGTGTTCAATTTTAAGAATGCTCTTGAAGAGGACAGCCATTAATATATGCTGAAGCAGGAAGGGCCAAATGCTTTCTAATCACTCTAACCAAGAGCCCAAAAGGCTGCAGAGATAGCAAACGGGCTGACTAAACAAAGTAGATGGAAATTATAGCATTTGACAGATACTCTCAACAGCATGGCAATAAGCAACACAAATTAACCTTTATAAGATCTGCACTAACCTTCAATTTCCTCATCCTCCTCTTCATCCTCCTCATCACTGGATTCACTGACCTGAACGGTAATGGCAGTGCTAGTAACTGTGGTCCAGTCAAAATAGACTCCAAACCCAATGTCATAGTCATCTGTAGCAAACTCCCAGCAAATGCATTTCCCATCAGGATGGGTTGGAACACGGACTGTCACCACCTCGCCTCGCTTCACCACCATCCGGCCATTCTTCTCCTTTCCCATCTTGGCTTTGAATTCCTTCATCTTCTCAGTGGTCCACATGGTGGGTGCAGCCAGAGGGGGAGGCTGAGCTGAGACAAGGGAAAAGTCATAGGCTTACATGACTTTTTACTACTGACTGTTGCCTGAAAACGGTGAAGCCATTTCTGGTATGGGACCTGCATTCTGGGGCCTGCTCCCAAAAGCCCCAGATGTGAATTTTTTCCACTCACTAACCAGGAGCCCAAATTTCCAGCAGGAATTAGAAGTATCTCCAGGACAGTCTCTGTTCTTCTAGCAAGGGCAGGCACTTAAAAAGTTACCCAAACAACAGTTCTGCCTTCAGGACTCACCTTTTCTCTGCTCCCCAAGGAGGTCTGCGGTCTCCAGCTCAGCTGAAAGGATATCCACGGCACCAGTGTGATCTGACTGAATCATGACTATATCCCCTACTCCCTGAGGTACATGGTAGCTGGTTAATGGAACAGCTTCCTGCACAAAGGACATAAGAAATATTGTCACAGAGATCATTCCGGTTAAAAAGTCTCTACCTAGATTTGAAACAACTCATTAGTAACACAGGTATCTTTATGAAACCAAGTCAGACCTGCAGAAGCTTCTATTATTAGTGTAGGCTAGCTCTGAGACACCACTCAGCATTGTTTTCCCCACTGCACCAAGTCATGAACTTTGAAGTCAAAGCTGCATTAGTTTCACTGATTTCACTCCCCTTGGCCTCCCCAGGAGTCCTGGGCAGGCACATTTTTGCACTTGCATCAGAGTTAATTGTCACCGCTCAACAAAGCAACAAATTTATAGATTTAGCTGATTATTCTTGGAAAGAATTCCCAACACACAATCTCTCTAGGGAGAGCCTCTCAGCTCTGTGTGCATCTAGACTACAATCAAACTGTCATTGCTGCATCCCAGTTAGAAGTCCATCTGGTTCACTAGGGCCGCTCTTACGCAAAGTCACAGGTCCTGAACTCAGTGTCACTTGCACAGGTTTTCCTGACTCTGTCTGTAAGGCAAATAAACTGGCTGCTCACAAGAAGAAACAAGGGCTTTTCAGTTCCCTCTTCCATAAATCTGCAAGAATGGAATTTCCAGAAGCAACAGGTAGGAGCAGAAGGTAAGAATTACCTTGAAGCCTCAGTGAGCAAGGAAGCAAGGAAGCAAGGACTAGCAGAAGACACAAGAGAGATTTTGGAAATTAGACTGATACTGTTTATCTCCCACTAATGCACAGGAAAAAATGTAACTGAATCTATGTTAATACTACTTTTATCTTAACACAACCCCTGGAGCCTCAATCCCATAGTGACAAGCACAGTAGCAGGTAAGGTGGGAGAACTGTTGCTTCACTTCTTTGTTCTCAGACATAAGAAACATCCATCTACCTTTTTGAGAGACTGGACTTGGTCAGGCAGCTTCTCCTCTAGTTCAGCCACTTTCTGGTACCCCAGCGTGCCAATTTCTTCCTTTGAGTGCTCTGTTGTGCCCGTGCTCAGGTGCGGCCCAGATTGTGACCTTTTGGAGGAAGAGAGGAATTCAGCAACAGCCAGCAGAGGAATCACTGCTCTGAACCTGAAATTCCAACAAACTGAAAGAACAAGCTTCTGTGGTCAGCACCTGCCAACTGGACAAAGAATGCCTGCCCACCCCAGTCCTGCCATCTCTGCGTGATTACCTTCCATGTGAGCCAGGGGGAGCAACTTCAGTGGGATACTCCATATTTACTGTCCTTTAGATAGCAGAGATTCACTGCACTCACCTCACAGCATGCTGGTTCACCAATAGGATGCTAAGGACAGACATCAGTAGCAACTTTTCTGCCCAAGAAAGGACAACTTCTTTTACGCCAGCTACTGCATGGCATCTGCATACTCCCTCAAAGGTCAGCTGGATCAGTGAAAGAATTCAGAACCATTTTGACAGCCATCCTGAGAATGTCATCTATTTAAGTGGCCCATTATGCTTTTTTTACTATACCTTTTCCTACTGCAATCCCAACAGATACAGGGGGCACCCAAGTGTCTCTGCCATATTCAAATATACTCCACAGATAAGCAAGAAGTAAGACATACAATGGGCAACACAATAACTTAAGCAAAGAGGTCTGAGTACTGCACTGTAACAAAATAAAATGGACATGCTAAAATAATAAGAATGGTACATAGCAGGAAAATAATGGGCAAGAAAGGAAATGTCTCTGGTATTTATTCTCTGTTGAGGGTTTTCTTCTAAATTATATTGAAAAAAATTGCTGCATGTTGTCTATAGCTAGATTTATAATCCCAAACAAGCTCATATGCCAGAAGAGTATCCTCTGTAATGCTCTCATTACATATGTGAAACTACTATGAGAAGCAACCTAGTATTAAATAGGAATAGAAATATTTGCACTTTTGAAAACCAAAATCTTCTCACAGCAGTATAAAACCAATGTCAACTGCCTTGCTTTAAAGGATCAGAAACATGAGAATACGGCATTAACGGAAAAAAATGTATTTCTTCAAATGTCTCCTTTCAGAAATGAGAAATATTCTCATTAGCAAGGAAGCATGGAATAATTAAAAATAAAATAAAATAAACAGCTCAATTAAGACTCATTCTGCATCCATAGAGAAGACTTGAACAGGGCAAATGTGGCTTTTATTTTCAAATTGTTATTTCTATGGCATTATAGAACTTATCCAGCTTCTACCAAATCTACTGACAGTAGGCATGCTCAATTATTAAAGTATTCTTCAGATAGGATATAGAAAATTTCCCCCTGAAAATGTACTAGCTCTTATGATGAATTGTAAAACTGCATAGGGTTCCTTTCAAGCTGAATGACTCTGTGATTTGAATAGCTGAACCATGAACTACATTTCACAAGCTTTGAAATAACCTTGAAGCCTGTAAGAACAGGTCCTCCCATACTGATTCTGGTATATACTGTCCCGAAGCAGAAAATTCAATCTCCAGTCCCTTCTTTTTACCTGCACAGAACAAACTGCCATACGGAAGAGGTCACAGGAGTGAAACAGACTGTCACGCATGTGGGCCACAACACACAAAAAGGTTTTCCTACCCGCTCTGCGAAGTACTGGACTCCAAAGAACCAACTAGCTGATCTGCAGGCTCTGTCTTTTGGGATGAGTCTTCATTTTCTAGCAACGAACAGAATACAGGAAGAGAAGGTGAAATGAATGTTGGTGTTTATAATACACTGACAGGAAAAAAAAACCTGCAGGCAGGACTCAGACACTGACAAGGTCACAGAGTGTGGAACAAAGACCTGTGCCAACCAGTTTTTCGTGTTATGAGCTGCATCTAGAACCTTGCGGAACAAAGATTTTTAATGGCCTCAACCCTAGGAAAGGGGGAACAAAAACCTACGCATGTTTTTGGTGTAAAGCCATTCTCAGAAGCAGGGTTCATTCAGGAACTACTAATCCTAGCTTTAGAAGGACAAAACAAGGCCAAATTTCATCATGTAAAGCTGAGCTGACAAAGCCCTGGAAAAAGCAATCATGCAGCAGTTCACAGAGGGCACTGACGAGATGGAAATTCCTAGGTCGGTGCTTAAAGGACCGTCTATAAAGATGGCTCCTGGTCTTCCCCGAGTCTCCCAAGCTCAGGGAAAGCTCTGATCCCACACGACTGCGGTACGCGCTTCACAGCCCTGCTCTCCGACCTCGTTAAGGCAGTGGACAGAGTACGGACAAGTTCCAGCTTTGGCAGGATGCTGATGCCCCTCGGAACCGCTGGCCGTCCCCAGGAGTCAGGGCTGGAAGGAGACAGCTCCAGCCCGGGCGCACGCAGCCCACGGCAGAGTCCAGCTCCCGGCTAGACGGGGCCTCTCTCACCGGGGAGCGCACAAACCTCCATCAAAGCTCTCTCTGCCCGCCGCACCGGGAGGAACTCTTGCTGCAGTTCCAGGCTCCCGAGCGGCAGGTGAGCAGGCGAGCCGCGCAGAGACCACAGCCCGCCCCTCTCGGCCCAGCCCCAGCACAGCCGGCACCGCGGGCGGCACCCGGGCACTGCTGTCCGCAGCGGGCACCGCACCGCCACCGCACGGAGCTGCCACCCGGAAACACGGCTTCTCCGGCAGAAACGAGCAAACCCACCACGTAAAGGCCAACACTAAAGACGCGCCGCCGGGCTGCCCCCTGCCCAGTCCGTACCTGCGGGGTCCCGGGGCGCGGTGTCGCCGCCCGGGGGCTCGGGGCGGGAGCCGGCGGAGAGCGCGTCCGACATGGGCACGGCTCGGCGGGCGGCCGGAAACACCCGAGCGGGGCCGGAGCGGGGCGGCCGGAAACACCCGAGCTGGGGGGACGGAAACTCCCGAGCGAGTGCGTGCGAGCCGGGCCGCAGGGAGGTGGTGGCGCCGCGGTGCTCATCCCTCAGCCTCCCCCCTCGACAACGCAGCCAATCAACATTTAGTTCTGCAGAGCGGCGGGGCGCGGACGGCGTTGCAGGCTGACAGCAGGGAGGGAGTGGCGGAAGAGAGAAGGGGGAGCACCACCAGGAACTGCTGGTTGCCAAGGTAACGGGTTCCCCGACAGACGCGTTGCCGTGGTGGCCTGGGGATGTGGGAATGGAGCCGCGCCCGGGTCCCGCGGGGCCTGGAATGGCTGAAGAGCCGCAGCCTGAGCCCGAGGGCGCGGGGGGCCCGCGGTGCTTCTGCCCCTTCTTGGCCTGGAGCGCCGAGGAAGTGGCTGAGTGGGTGGCGCAGCTCGGCTTCCCCCAGTACGAGGTTCGGGCCTGAACCCGGTGTGTGTGTGTATGTGAGCGTGTGCGAGTGTGAGCGGCAGAGGGGCGGTACTGGCAGATGGTGATCCGCCTTTCCCTCCGCTTCCCTGCCCAGGAATGCTTCAGGGCCAACGGCATCACCGGCCGGCGCCTCATCCACGTGAACTGCTCCAGCCTGCCCGCCATGGGCGTCACGGACTTCGGCCACATGCAGGTGCGCCCGGCTGCGGCTCCCGGAGCTCCCTCAGCCCCTCGGCTGGCCCTGCCTGCTGTCCCTGCTGTCTGCCCGGGCAGAGCGCCACTTCAGAGTGAGCCTGAAACTGGACAACCGAATTTATACAGTCATAGTTTTAGAGTACAGGTCTATTCAGGTCTTTAGCTGGCTGCAGATTTAGGGCTTCTTCTCTGGGGCACCATAAGTGCTTAGCCTTTCTTTAAGTGTATGTTGCCCTCCGGCCCCATAAAATTGCTTAGCAAGATGTGAGCACCACACACTCAGAAAAATTTTTAAATCATTTTCCACTTACTGATTTGTAGAACTTTGTAGAAAACCTAGTTAGATTTAACCCGCAGCAATTGAGCCACTGATCTCAAGCAGCAAAAAGGGCCACTCATTTTTATTTCCTTCTTTTACACTTTACTTACAGAAAAGCAAACAGGAACTCTGTCTCTTCCTCACTTTATGATCATGTAATTGGTCTTTTTCCTTTCAACCCTAAATATTTTCTTTAACAAACACTAATAGTTAAGGCTGAATTTCAGGGCTACACTCTGGTCTTCCAAGGCTTCCTAAAAGTTCAGAAAATCAACAAGTTAACTTAAATTTCACTACCCTCTTTCCCTCCCTTAGTGGAAACCACAGAGGGACTGCATTTACAGAGCCAAATCATGTTTTGCATCACAGCTTGAGGTTGCTTTCACCAGAAAACACAGCTAGAAGTTCAAACCCAGAATAAAGAAGAAGCATTGTGCTCCAGTGACTAGAGTATTAACACTATTTTATTCTACAGTACCAAAATGCAATTTCACCACAGTCCTGTCTGGTTGCACAATCTTAATTGTTTGTTTGAAACTTAAGCTACCAAAAACATTAACTAGTGCCACGACTTTGCTTGTTGAGAGAAAGGCATCAATTTAACACTAAATTTTTCAGACAGCAAACCTCCACAAATATTTTTCTACAAGCTGATAGAGACTGCAGTCATTAGTGCTTTCCAAAAGTAGAAGAATTTTATAGGCTTTGTAAGCCTCACCCTAGTACTGGAATACCAGGATTAGGTATGGTGTTAGTTCAACTGCTGAATAATACCAGGCCGTGGGTTAGACATACCAACTGTAAGCCATTCTTCCTCTTGTAGGAACTGAAATTCCTTTAGATAAGCGATAGACAGGCAAGCTTGGATGTGAGACTGTCTCAGTAATGTTTTCCAAAGCTTGCAAGTAAATTGGGAACATCTCACAGACCTCAGTGGAACCGAGATACTCTCAAAGGTCATGTCCTATCCTGGCAGTTATTTGTGTTTTAAAGAACTTTATTCTGACAGAATCCAAGTATGCAGAGCTCTGCAGGATGTGGCCCTTTGGGTCTTTCAGGAAGTGTCTACTAGAGCAGGTGAAAAGTTAAAGCCACAATTTCCCAACGAGAAATATAAATTAAAGGCTGATACAGTTACTATAGAAATAAGAGTGATAGCATCAGCTCAGCAAGACGGAAACTGCTTTCAGTTTAGGGGAAATGGCAGTTTGGTAGAGAATTACAGCTAATTATGTGGAAGCTATGCAGTGGGGACAAGTGACATTACTGCTGGTTTTAATCCCACTGTGCTGGTATTTTAAATATCAAAACCACTCAAGATACAAGTCTGGTGTTCTTTTGTTATCACAAAAAATAGGGTACTACTTTTCAGAGTCAAGCTAAAGTTGGGGGGCAAGTTTTGAGCAAATACTATGAGAGATCAGTAAAACCTTGCAAATTGTATTTTCATATTCAATCAAATTAGATAGTTAAATTCTCAGAAGTTACTTCAAAAACAATGGTAAGGCTCTACTCACTCACAGTTCCAGATCCAGCTGGCTCAGACAACCATACATTTTCTAAATTAACAATATGACTTTTTGCTAATTATTTTTACACCTTTGTGTAGATTGTCATTCACATTATAATTTAACAAACAGCGATGATTTTGCATTAAGCAGAAGAGACTGTAGTTCATTCACCCATAACTTGTTTGTCTTTGAAGTGTAAGGATGAAAGCAGAGCTGTATGTATGCCATTAAGAGACCAAATGTGATGCCATCACTGATAGTAAATCTGGAGAGAAGGCGATATGCACTGCTTTTACATGTCACACGAGGCTTATGGATTCAGATCCCCCTTATGTTGCAACTTCAAGCATGAAACTGTACCAAAATTTGGAATATCACTTTTTCCTGCTGCTCTGATATGGAATGGTTTTAGATGCTGCCCTGTTGTCTTGGTTTGAGAAATGAGAATTTCTGGTGTTTCATCTTGTATTTCAGGAAATTTCACGACACGTGCGAGAGTTGCTGGGGATTGAGGAGCCTCTCTTCAGCAGATCCATTGCCCTCCCGTACAGAGACAGTATGGGTCTCTTCCTAGAGAGAAAGGCACCAACAGGAGAGAAAGCAGATGCCCTCACTTTTTCACAGTTTATCCAAAAAGCAGGACTGGAGCCCTATACTACTGTTCCTTCTTTTCAAGGATCCCAGACCATGGTGGGAGTGGTTACTCTCCCTGCATCACAGGACATGCAGAGACAGAATTAGAGACTCATGCTGCACTTTTGCCTTCATAAGAAGCTCAACAGCCACAGACTGTACCCTTATTACCTTGCAGATTGTTCAAGGATGTACTATTCCACCTTTTCACAATTACAGAAAATTGTGCACTGCACTGCCACTGCAACTCTTAGACATTTTATTACATCAAACCCATTCTCACATTGTCTCTTTTCTGCAATTCTTCATTTGCTTACAGAAACTAAGTGAAGTGGAGGTTGTAGATCACACTCTACCATTGTCTGTCTTTCACTTCTGTGTCACAGTTGATTAAAAAAGACCTAAAAACAATCATTGACATATTTTAGGCACAAGTGATTGATAAGAACTTCCCAGATGCTCAAGTGAATAGATTTCTCCTAGGCTTCAGTATCTACAGACTGGGCTTGCTCTAATACCAGATGTAAAATAAATTGCATATACAATAACTGGTATACAGGTGTGGCAACAGCTGCTGTCAGCAATCATAATTAAGCGAGGGGTCTAAGTGCAACATGCATAACTAATTTTGGCCACACCAAAGAAATTGTTTCCTGTGAAGCAAAACTAGGCAGGCAGTGTTTTATCATGGTAAACAGTACTGAAACACGAAAGATGGTGGCAGAAAGTACAAAAGAACAGTAAACTAGAGAATTTAGGGAATAAGAATTGCTTTGTCCCAGGTGGATTTGGACAGAGTATCCAGTTACCTCCTTTTTTTTCTTGAAGGACATATCATATAGTCTGTGGTGGTGAGGGTGGAATGCATTATCACCAGCAAGGAAGTAGAAGTAAGTGCTGATGAAAGCCTGGCTCAACAGAAAGAGCACTCCTGACTAAATCACTAGTATGTTGTCAGGATACAATGGCTTTCTCAAGATCCCCCATGGGGAATAAAAAAATACAACAAAAAAAGACTGGACCTGATCCTGTTTAGTTTGTTAAACCAGAGCTGGAGCCACTACAAAATAACTGTAATTTGGTTTTGTAATTCAGTTTTGTATTGAAGCTGCAGTAGAAACCAAATGAAACTGAAGCAGTTCATAGGGCAAGACTATGTATTAAGCAAATTCAGACAAAAAAAAACAAACCAAACAATAGAAAAGCTCAGGCAACCAGGGATAAACAAGTTTGCTGAGCAATGCAGAGAGTGAAACTCATAGAAGAAAATGTGTACATAGGGTAATTGGCTGGAATAATTTAAAGAATCTGAGATTCAACAGTGCTGGTTCTTGCATGGCTTAATCCCATGAAGGGGCTGGGATGAGAACTTGAGAACTCAACAAAGCATTCCTCACGGGCTTCATTATGGTTTATGAAGATTTAGAATCATACTCAGCATTTTCCTTTGGAATTTCTGAGAAACTATTGGAAGCAGCTGTGGAGAATGGAGACTTGTCATCCAGTATCACACTAGGCTCCACTACACCTGAAGTGAGAGATGTCTTGGTGCTGACCAGCCCACATTGCTTTATAGGACAGTCTCCAGAGGGTGCCTGGTACAGTAGAGCACCAGGCATCAGATGGCACCAGACAAGCTCTCTTTTCTAGCAGCTGGCTAAAGAGAGACTTTCTCAGTGGCACAGCTGTCAAATCAAACCAGGGGAAGGTTCTGGGAAGGGAAAACAAGTGGAAACCTTTGCTGGCAACAACAGTTCAAAGCAGCTTGCTAAAAATGTAACAAATAGTGGTTTTCTTCAGTGTCTGACTACAAGACTCTTGGGTCTTTGAGAAACCATCAGATTCAGAGACTTCAGTGTAAAATGTTCCAGGCATCACTCTGTCACATGAAGTAAAACTGAGACTAATGGTTCTAAAAGAATCCTGAAAAAGCAGGAATCTTTTCCCTCAAGCAGTGTTCCCCTGACTTAACATCCTCAATAGTCCAGTTAGTGAACAGTCATAAGATCATCACCCCTAAAATCTGTCCTCTCTAGATATTCCCATAGGAATTTTTCATTTGCATCCACTGCCCTAGTCTTGATCAGTTGCCTCAGACAACCATGATAAATAGGATCTAGGGACAAAATAACTCAGTCCAGGTTTTCTCTTGCTAATACTTCATCTAAAGCAGTTCCTGGGGCAAAGATGTCCTAAGGACAACACAGAGTTCAGCACCTTCAACCCAACAAGGTAGCCCATGTTATATGTGAGATGAAGCAAGTTGCAAAGCAGAGACAAGCAGTACTTCAGCATTCAACTGTCTACTTTCTCCTCCTGAGTAATCAAAGGGGCAAAATCTTTCCTGACAAAACTCTTGCACATAAACCTGGGCAGGAAGGTTTTTGCACAGATGAGGCAGCATTCAGGAAAGCTGAGGTCATTGCTTAGTTTCAGTGCCTTCTGCTGAGGCAGATTCTGCCACATGATGCTGTTCAGGCCTGCATAAAAAATGACCACCAGCTATTAATGGAATTTTATTTTCCTTGCAGGATGAACAAAATCAAATATCAATTACCAGTGTGCACACAGATGTGAAGAGGTATTCTCATCTCACACTACTGTGAGGAATTACACTGACAACCAGACCTGTTTGGTTTGAAACCTCTGATCTGGGACCATTTTAGGTGAGAGATGCTAAGAGTAATAGTAACATGCCTAATATATCTTGTGTTTTATGTAGCTCATCCTAGTTGAGTAAGCAGAAGTCCTTGACAGGCTGCATATAAAGACATATAACCATTTGGCCATGATGGCACAGTGAGCACCATGGGTACTTCAAGGGAACTCAGCAATGCGCTAATCACAGAGTGTCTGTTCCGAGGTTTCAGGTCCCCTTTTGTAGAAACAACAGGTTCAAGTCCCATCCAGTGGTAAAATCCAGAAATTGCAGGTTTGAGTCCTGCAGTGAATCCTGCAGTAAATCCTGTTGTGAAACTGTATGGTGAAAGGTGCACTGTGAAGCTTTTTTTAGGCCACATGTAAGTTAGTAAATTAGTGGCTTTTATAGTGGAGTTTGCTCAGATACTTTGAGTTCTTTTAACTCGAAGGGAGTTGTATGAGTTCAATGCAGTATGTGAATATTTTATGTATGTGTTAAGAAGAATGAGTTATGTGTTAAGTCTGCCGGCATAAAAAAAAAAAAAAAAACTGACATAGGGATACCGATGACATAAAGCTCATTTGCTTAAAAATTGTTTTCAATAAATGTATAAATATGTGAAAAGTCTTGTACAGGACATGTGCAGTTGGAATGATTTTCACTGCACATCCTGGCCAGAATAAAGTAATGCAACTCACTGACATCTCAAAGATAGGGTCTGAGATTTCATTTCTTTCTGAGTTTGGTGTCAGTTCCAGGTTCTGAAATGACATGGTCCATTTTTCTAGAGGGGAGGGATGGAGGTGTCAAGGCTGTACACAGTGACAGGACAAATGACAGCAGATGGACAGCATGTGTGACAGGAGGCAGCAGCAGAACACAATGTCCTCCAGGCCACCAGCTAAGCATTGTTATAAAAGCATGTAAAGCTCTGCTTCTGCAGGGCTACTGCACTAAGCAAGGACAAAGGGACTCAGAAGTCCAGGAGACAGCAGAGCTGACCAACCAGCACCTCTAGGCACTGGAACAGAATTACCTGTGCTCTGCCACATGCAGGTGAAACAAACCACTGCTACTAGATTATTAGCACTGCCTGCCTGCCCAAAGTGCCACAGAGGGACTTCGGTGGCTGCCCATCACTGTTCTTACAAAGCAAAGGGTAGCAGCAGGTGACATGAAGGAATAAACATGCAAAGAGATTAGCTGCCTGGCCCAGTCCTTGCAGGGTGATTTAAAGTCTTTAGCTGAAACAGCTGAGCCTGGGGATCTGGTTAGTTTTTGAGATCTACAAAAAGCCCTGTTTCGTCTCTTCCCTGAGATGATTAGAAAGATTTTATTCCAAACATCTCCCTGGAGGACAATTCTCCCCATTTGTCTTATCTAAGTTTATGGGGTCATGTGACTTTATATACAGCCTGCCAAGGACTTCTATTTACTCAATTAGTATGAGCAACATAAAATACAAGCTGTATTAGACTTGTTACTATTAATTTTAGCATCCCTCACCTAAAATGGTTCTAGATCAAGGGCAACCTTGTCACTTTGTCCAAGGATGTGATGAGAGGGAGTGAAGAATGGGACCCAGACTCTCTTCAGTGGTGCCCAGTGATGACAAGGGGTACTGGGCACAAACTGAAATGTGCTGGTCCATCTGAAAGAACAAACCCACCTTTTACTGTGAGTGTTGCCAAATTCAGAACAGGTTTCCCAGAGAAGCTGAGTCATCTCCAGCTGTGATGATACTGAAAACCCACAATAGCCACAGTCCTGGTCTGCCTGTTCCAGGTGATCCTGATAAAGCAGGAGTGGACTAGATGATAGAGGTCCATTCCAACCCAAATGGTTCCATAAGAAAAAAGACACCCAAAAAAAACCAACAAAAAAACCCCAACCAAACAAAAAAAAGCCCCAAAAAGTGTAGCAGGGAGGCTAGAATCCAAATCTACTCTCGTGTTCGTGTGACCCCCTGTGGCAGCACACTCCTACAAACTCTCCAAAATTAATTCATCTGTGCTGATGGCACTGAAGGTGTGAAATAAGGTATTGCTGCAAGCAATGTCACTCCATGGTGACATGCACTGTGCTTTTCAGAACATTAAAAAACATCCTGCAACTCGTTTTGTGGGAGGTGATAAATGGCTCAGGATTAACACACAAGAGTGACAATATGCTTAGTGGGGGAAGGAAGGAAACAGCCCAAGGAGAAAGAGACAGCTTTATTTACAGAATTGAAGTGAGGTCTGAAAGGATGAAGCCAGCAGCTGCCTGAGGAGTTATGTTTCTAAGAAAGTGCATTTCAATCCTTCCTGGCATAACACTTTCTGAGAAAATAGCTCCTGGAGCCAGCAGGTTTGTGTCAACTGAGAGAGGTCCCTGCTTGCTCTCCATCCAACCCATAAGGATTCTGACCACCTCCACACTACATCTTTTCCTGGTAAAGGGATCTTCCAAATGCTGTGGAGTGCTAGCAGAAGGATACTTACTGGCAGAGGTTGCTATCCTGGCTCTGCAGGAGTTCACACACCTCTTTTCCTAGTGTGAGCCAGAACGAACAAGAAAAAAAAAAAAAGTCCAACTGGTCCTGGTCCTTTCCCCCAACACTTTCACACAGGGAGAACATGGTCCAGGTAGGTTTTACTCCAGCCACAACCATGATTAGTGATGCGCAAGCCAGCTTGACTGTTACAGGGACTGGTCAGCACTGTCTGGTGGCAAGACTCCAGAGTGTGACTGACACGTTCCTCTTGCAAGAATAAGCCCAGGCACCACCCAGAGCAAACATTCATCTTGCTGTGCCCAGCAACTTCCCTCCACACACACAAGTGATGCCTGGCTTACAGCCACATCAAAGATTCCAAAAAGAATCAACCCTGATGGATCAGTACCATGGTTTCACCAGCTACATTTTAGTAGCTGTCTTCAAGCAGCCTGAACGTCACGGTCCCACAAGCCACGGGCACCCACTGTCATCGATGAGTGTTGATCATGCAATGAGTAGTAACGGAGCTCCTCTGTTGGCACTGGACTGGGTTTTGCAGTTCTCTCTTTCAGTGACATGGTGATGGCCAAACAAGCTGTTTCACAGGTGTTCAGTTCTTCCACCGGATTTGCTAACAGAGAGAACAAGACATCACTAACACCAATGCTGAACACAGAGCCCTAGGGGTCAACTTAGTGACTCCCAATCCCTGACAAGCACAGCTATGGCCAGAGTGTGCCATTTCTACCAGTATAACCATTCATTCCTACCCCGAATACAACACCAAACAAAAGATTTGCTTCCCAGCAAAGACAAAGTATGTAGGACAGCCATGCCCCTACACCTATCTGTTTCTGGTAAGAGTGTCTGGAAGAAAGAGTAAGCATTTCATACCACATTGCTGAGAATGCTGTGTATCTTCTCTTCTTCTGCAGAGCCCCGCTCCACCTTGCATTTATATGCTGTCAGCTGGATACGATCCTTTAGATCCCGGTAGGTCTAGATAAAAGGCAAAACCAGCACCCAGCTGAGAGAAAGGGACACTTCCATGGTTAGATAGCGTCCTGCAGATGGGCAGGGCAATTCTACAATCCCCCATCCAGCTCCCAGCACAAAACAATTTCACAGCACAAATGCTAGGAGCCACTCTCCTGGCTCATGGACTTCTACTGGGAACCTTATAATTTTTCCCAGGCCACAGGGATAAACAAACCCCACCAGGCACATGACAGAAGTGGCACAGGGCAGAGAACAGAAAAGCTAGAGAGAAAAAGCAGGCCTGTGACCCATCTCTTCACAAGGCAGCAATCTACCTCTATGACAACATCATGGCACTTGTATTTGGTAGCGAGGTTCAGCCGGGTCTCTACATCTTCCACCAGGCGCACATATTCCTGCAGCACCTGTGAGAGACAGAAGAATGTCTCAGTTCCCTTCTACAGGTATATCCCATCTCATTTCCTCACCCCAGTCTCAAAACATTTCAAGGCTGCTGGTCACACAGACTTGGCCCCTTCCTTGGGGAACAAGAGACCTCAACAAGACTGTTCAGGATCCCAGAAGCTTTGCTTACAAAGCTCAGAATCACAGAATAAGCCAAGTTAGAAGGGACCCACAAGGATCATAGAATCCAACCCCTGTCCCAGCACAGCAGCATTCCCAAGGGTCAGAACATGTGCCTGAGAGCACTGTCCAAATGTTTCTTGAATTCTGTCAGGCTTCATTCTGTGACCACTTCCATGGGGAGCCTTTTCCAGTGCCCAATCAGCCTTTGGGTAAAGAACCTCTTTCCAATATCCAACCTAAACCTCCCCTGACACAATTTCAGGCCACTCCCTGGGTCCTGTCACTGGTCCCCCCTCCTCTTCCCCTCACAAAGAAGTTGTAAACTGCAATGTGGTTTTCCCTCAGGCTCTTCTTCTCCAGGCTGAACAGACCAAGTAATCTCAGCTGCTCCTCATATAGCTTTCTCTCAAGGCTCTTCACTATGTTCATGGCCCTTCTTTGCATGGTCTCTAATAGCTTTATAACCTTCTTAAACTGTGGTGCCCAAAACTGCCCCCAGCACTCGAGGTGAGGCTGCCCCAGTGCAGAGCAGAGCAGAACATTCCCCTCCCTTACCCAGCTGTCCATGCTGTGTCTGATGTCCCCCAGGACAGAGTTGGCTCTCCTGGCTGCCAGGCTCATGTTCAACTTGCCAGTGACCAGGATCCATGGTGCTGCTCTCCAACCTCTCATTCTATCTATACATGCCAGATGCAGAATCCATCCCTTGCTGAACTCCACTTAATTTTGATGGCTGCCCAGCCCTCTAATTTGTTCAGGTCTCTCTACAGAGCCTCCTTGCCTTCTGGGGAGTCAACAACTCCACCCAGTTTTGGATCATCTATAAACTTGCTTAGTATCCCTTCCAGTCATGCATCCAAGTAATTTATGAAAATGTTGAAGAGCACAGGGCAGAGGATGGAGCCCTGTGAAACCAGTCACCAGTCTGATGTCACCCTATTCACTGTAATCCTTTATGCCCAACCCATGAACCAGACGCTCACCCATCTCATCACTTGTTTATCCAGCTGTGTGCTGGACATTTTGGCCAGAAGGATACTCCGAGAGACATCAAAAGCTTTACTGAAATCCAAAAACACTACATAGAGTGGCTTCCCTTGATCGACCAAGTGGGTTACCTTGTCAAATCTGATTTCCTTTTATGATATTTCATTTCAGTGCATGGTAAAATTATGAAGAAGATTATTCTGGGAGGTATTGAAAAACCTGGAGCACAACACAGTCATTGGTCACAGCCTGCACAGCTGTCCCTCCTGCAGTCAGAGCTAGGACCCAGCCCTCAGTACCACCCACACCTTTTGTTGATGCATGGGCTGCTCAGCTGAGTGCTGCACCCACCTGGCGGTGTCAGAAGATCAGCAAGCTTCTCTCACTTCCAGCTAGGAAGCAGCTCACCTGAGGAGTCACTCATACACCAAATCCCAAAAAAGAGCAGGACATAAGCAGGGGTTCCTGGCTCACCTGCACAGGAGCATTGTTCCTCTGCAAGATCTCCACCACCCGGTGGAAGCCAATAGGTGCCTTCTTCTTGGTGTAACCCAGCCAGTTCTGAAATGAGAACCAAACCTATGTCAACTCAAAAGGACAATCCCTCCAGCTACAAGAAAATGTGTTTTTTCTCCCAGTGCCAGCAACATAATACACAGCCACCACACGCACCCCACGGCAGAGCCCTTCGTTCAGGGGCTGTGCACAGGCTGGCTGCAATCCCTTTGGTAACCAAACTCAGAGACAGGCCCCTTCTCTGACCTTATTGCTGCAGCCAAGCCAGCCCAGCAGAGGTCTTGGGCAGGGAGAGGAGGAAAGTATTGCAACACCCTGCAGCAAAGGTGCTGGACTTTGCTGGAATAAAACCAGTCTGTCCAGCAACTCCAGAACAAGCCAGCTATCAGTAGCAGACACCAGTACTTGGGACTGTGTCCCCAGCAAGGCTCTCTGCAGCTCACCTTGGTGGTGAGGAGGGCATCCACATCACCCCAAGCCCGCAGCTTGGCACGGGCAGCCAGGGCAGTCAGCACATACTGCTTATCAGGAATCTGCAAGGCAGAAAGCTGCAGTCAGACCAACAGCATAGCTCAGAAGGCCTGTGTGGGCTGGAGATGAATGCCATCTGCCCCAGCCCTGGCAGGACCCACACCAACACCCACACAAAGAGGCAAGATGCTGCCTGATGCCACACACAGCACCTAAGAGAGTAGGAAGTGGTGATTTGCAAGTGCTGCTGCAGACAGGGTACATCCATTGAAAATCTCCACATGGCTCTCACTTGCCTTTCTGAGACTCCAGAAGGGCCTTGCTCAAAAAGGATGCCATGGTCCCCTCCCTAGCTCAGTGCTGAGCCTCTCATATTCCTCCTACTGAGCCCCTTTCATTACATAGTTTGTCTGTGCACGTTTTCAGCTAGTGCTGCCAAAACAGGAGAGACTCACGCACCTTAAATGTTTTCTTCAGGTTGGTGGGGCTGCTGAACATTCCCTAAAGAAAGCAGATAAGTCAGTGCAAACTCAGAAGGGCAGGCCACAGCAGGGGTTCACACACCTATTATAAGGCATCTGCCTTGCACAGAATCAATCTTCTCAAGATTTTACTGCTTTTTGCTCATGTCAGTACCACAGGAGGAAGCAGCTGACAGAAGAGAGCAACTATCCCATCCCACCTCATTAGCTCTCTGGTCCAGCTT